CGATGGAAACCCAAACGGGTATTATATCTAAGTTTGTACTTGCAATGTAAAGCTATAACCGTTAAGGATATAATTACCGACTAATCAATAATTTTCTCAGCTGGAATTGTTGAAAATGAATGGACCAAAATAAGAGAGTTTGAATTTCAAAAATATTTAGGAGAAAAAAACGAACTGATGAATAAATTGCTCAATTTCCAATGCAATAAATGTCCTGATTTTACCGAACATGTAAATTTAAAAATTATCGTTTTAAGTTGTTATTATCGACATGTCATTAACGGTGCTTTATTAATAGTATGGACATGTCCATGATGAACGGCTCCTTGAAATTAACCATGAAGGTTTAAGGAGCTTTATGTTGAGCCAAAATCTTGCATTATTACCGGATTACACTCGAAGGACTAAAGTACTGGAGAAATTACAACATATTGATCAATATGGCACCGTACAGATAAAGGGACGCGTCGCATGTGAGGTTAGTGTTCTCAATCAATTTGCAAAAATGATTTATTATTATTATTATTATTATTATTATTATTATTATTAAATCCTTTTTCATTAACTACAGATTAATTCAGCTGATGAACTAGTCCTAACCGAACTAATCTTTGAAAATGCTTTCGCTGATTATGACTATTCGGAAATTGTAGCATTGTTGTCTTGTTTTATATTTCAGGAAAAGCTGGAAGAGCAACCAGAACTTATTCCTAAATTAGAAGAGGTAGGTAATTGGTTCCTACGTTCATCTTGATTTCAATAATTTTCTAATTTATATATAAATTTCTTAGGGTAAAAAAACAATTCGTGACTTCGCACAAAAAGTATATGAAGTACAAAAACAATGTAAACTCACTGATGATGCTGGTGATGCTAATGTTGTTAATGATGGTGTTGATCTTATTTTTGATGACGTTGTTGATGTTAATAAATTTAATTTTGGCCTCGTTGAGATAGTTTATGAATGGTCAAGAGGGAAGGTATATATAGGTCATTTTATTTTATTTTATTTTTACATTTAGTTATAGTTCATATTTACGAACCAATTCTTATCCTTCAGGATTTCATATATATAAAAGATCTCACTGAAGTAATGGGAGGTTCAATTGTTAGATGTATTACTCGATTGGATGAAACATGTCGTGAAGTAAAAGAAGCTGCAAAAATAGTAGGAACTTTATCATTATGTAAAAAAATGGAAGAAGCACAAAGTTCTATAAAACGCGATATAATATTTGCTAAAAGTCTGGTACGTAGTGATAAAATTTTAATTCTTAAATTCTAAACGAATATATATATATATATTAATCTTTATTATTACTATAACTTTAGTATTTTTGATTCATAAAAATGTCAAACTTTCACTATATTCTGTTTTGTGGTTTCGGGTCATTAATTTTTTGAGCTGTTACATTTCGTAATATTAAATATCTCAGTTTTGCCTATAAAAAATTGTATACTCTCGGATGAAGAACGAGTCCAATACTGCAAAGCAGGAAATTGCAAAACTGGATATGATTTTCTAAAAAGTTGAATTATATTTTAATAGGTTTTGTGTAAAACTGCATATATATTTAACAAAATAAAATATCCAGATCGGTGTTTTTTTTTTGTTTAAGCCTTTAAAACTCATTTGTTATTAAAATTCCTAACCTGAATCCTAAAAAAAAAAAAAAAAAAAACCCAAAATATGCATCGTAAAATTTTAATACGTATTAAATATTCTTATTGTAAATTGTACTTAATACAAAATCAAGATTTTAGACAGTGTTACACCCGAACTACCTCCATAAGAACGGGATAGCTGAAGACGATAATAAACGAATATCTCGTGTTCGTCTTTATGATACTCTATATCTTATGTCAATAACTTGTATTGAGATCCAAGAGGATTTATACGTAGTGATTCGCAATTACGAAAGAGGCAAGCAACTAAAATGTGTATGAAGACACTAGTAAACGTATAACATTTATTAATAAAACTCACGTATGAAGACACGACTACTCTAATTAATAACATATGAGTTGAAAGGCTTTCACTTCACTTGCAAATAAATCATCATTGTACTTAATTGGCAATTGCTTTTCTTAGCTGTAGATTGCTCATAAAACTGATCACGAAGCTGCATAATAATTTAATATTTAAAGTCATTTACGTATAACTTAATTTTGACATTCTTATCAAAAATTTTTCGGTATTTAGTGCCTATAGTGCTCGGCACTTGGTGCCTATAGTGTTCGGCACTTAGTGCCTATAATATTGCCCATAGTGCCTGTGCCTATCATAGTGCCTGGCACTTAGTGCCCATGCTTATCATAGTACCTGTGCCTATAATAGCTCCTGGCACTTAGTGCTTACGCCTATAAGAGTGCCTGGTATTTTTATGCCTATAGGCATAGCTATGGCATAACCCATTATATTTATAGTACAAATTACAAAGCATATTTTAAAGGTGTAAAGACTTAGTAAAGTAGTTAAGTTGTCACATTTCCCAAGCAGTAATATTAACAGGTTGGGTTTGAAACCTACCGTTAATGATATTTCAAATATTTGATTTGTATGATAGTTACCCTCTTTGGATTTTCTATAGAATAAATGGGCAATATAAGAAATAAGCTTCGCTAATGATTAATAATTATTAATTTTTTAATAACGGAGTTGCAGAGTTTGCGAAGTTTGCCCGCCTATTTTATAGAACATCTCTTTTATTGATCAGGATTTTTATAACTTTAGTAGTATTAACAAAATTAGGAGATCATAAGATATTTATATAATATATAAGTTATACAAAGGTATGCAAGCCAGTGTTAAATAGTACAACCCAAGATAAGTCCTCATGATTATGTAAATTCAAAGAATTAGAAAGATAGATACTCACTTGACAAGATTTAAAAAGAAAAATAATTTAAATCTTTAATAGTATCTATTATAATAGGTTACATCTGAAATTAATACAACTGAATGAGATCAGACATTTAGCAAGAGTGTTTCACTAATCAAACTATCAAAGCATTAATTAGAAAAAAAATTTGCAAAGTCAGATATTATAAAATTAGTATTACTTTCAAGTTATTTAGATTAGTAACTAGAAGGTATTAAAAAGAAAGTACCAGGTAGCTTTGAAGAGAAGTTACTGAAGTTTGGATAAACTTTGCTGATAATAATAGCAGAAATAAAAAACTATAAGTACTTGTTTTTAGACTTAGTATAAATTATTAAAAGATTAGATTATATAATAAGTATACATTATTGGACAGATGACAAAAAATAATAGTCAATTGTTTTTTTTGTCAAAATTAATGTCACTCTATGTGTTGTATAGCAGGATATGAGTGAAATTAACTCTGATAAAAAAATAATTGAATGTTATTTGTTGTATATATATATATATATATTTTTAATCTTCAAAGGTGAGGCCATGCCTTTATTTTTATTAAAATTCAATTAGACTTCTTTACAAAAAGAAATTACATTATTTGAACTCTATATCCAAAGGATACTAAGACTAGAAACTTAGACAGAGCTCATATTGAAGTTATCTGCAACCTAAACCTAGTTGTATATATATTCAATAATGATGTTATCCAATAGTTAATATGATTATATAAAGCTTTTCTGTAATGTTTTGTAAAACTGATTATGTAATTTTATACAAAAAATATCAGTGTAAAAAAATTCATATAATCATATAAAATGTTAAATAACAGTAGATATTTGTAAACAATAAGTAGTTTAAAATAATTCAGAGAGTATGGAATAATTAATATACTTTATTTTTTAGATAAAATTAGGTTAATTGATATTAAAAAATTTAAATTAAAGAGTTTGAATAGGGAATCTATAGGCAGATCTTAGATATGGTATATAAAAAATAACTATAATAATATAGCAAAATTCTTAAATAAATAATAAATAAAGTTATATATATATCTATATATATTTTTATTAAAATATATTAATATCTGAGACTTATAAAGTCACTAATAATCTTTATATATTTAATAAAACTAATAAAATTGAAGAAAAAGGATGTGGTAACTTAGTGAAGTTGGCAAGTTGTTACACCCCCAAGCAGTAGGACTAGAGTTCGAATCCCACCAACAATGAAAATTCAAATTTATAAAAATGCATTTGGAAGATTATATCCTATTGGGTTATAGAACCTGTAATAGTGGTCATACCAGCTTGTACTGGGAGGTAGTGGAACATATAGTATAATGTATAAGTTATACAAAACTTGAGTAAAGCTACTGGATAAATCTAACGAATTTACAGGATATGGGAGCCTGCTTAGCAAGACCTAAGTGTAGAGATAGCACAGATCTTTGACAGCTACTATATAAAGGATGATCAACCAGATACTGGAAAACCAGATAAGACTGAGGTTTTTGGCAAGGCACTATATTAATCAGACCATTAGATAACCGGAAGAAGGCTTCTGTCTTTTTAGGCCATCAAATTGGGAGTTTAGATTTCTGAAAGTATGGGAGAGAGTCCGTAAAGTAGGTATCTTGGTTTAGGTAAACTCTACAAGGGCAGTAGTAGGTAACTGTAGCGGCTTCAGTTCGCAATTACTTATCTTCAGACTTGGCATAAGTTACTGAAAAAGTCTAGTCTGAAATGTGTGAGATATAGAAAGATTATGGGTATATACTACACCCTCTCTAGAGTAACCCGATAAGTATATGAATCCTATTGGGTTATCTATAGAATTAAGGTGCAAGTAGTGTAGCATATATTAATTTGGGTGGTCTTTAATAAAGCAGTATGTGGTTATGGGTTGGCGTAATTGAGGTGGTGATGCAGGATGAGGGATATCAAAGAGTTTAATTGGATAGCTCAAGTAATAGTGGGTTATAGGTAAAGCATCTAGTGTAGACCCTAGTAATAGGTAGCTACTTAATTAAGCACTTAAAAAGTGCAGGTATAGCTAGAATGTATTCTTGTTAATCATGAATATACTACTAATATACCTAATAAAAATTCACTCTTCCATGATATTACAAAGGTAAAAAAAAATAAAAATAAAAAAAATAAAACTGAAAAGATTAACCTTTAACTTAAAACAAAATATATTTATTTTTTTTTATAGTCAAGGTTAGCCTCTTTGGTTTATCATTTTATTAGATTGTAAGATTATATAATACTCTTTTCAAGAAGTCTCAAACAAGTATATTCTAATGAGAGTATATTTGATCACACATATAATTTTAGTTATTGCCTATTTAAGAATAAGGTGAATATAGATCATTTATCATATGATCTCATATACTAAAAAATTTTTATGCAAAAATTAAGCATATACTATTAGTAAAAGTTTTTAAGACCACAACTAAACTTTACTTTTTCTTTATAATAATAAAATTTTTAGTTCTTATATTATTTAAAAAAAATCTACTTCTATATAGGGTGCTTCTAGGCATCTCTCGCGAGAGATATATATCTCCATAAGGAGATGTATATCTCCTGTCAATAGCGATCCACAATTTAGTGCAACATAACATGATCAAGAAAATTCAAAACAAATGTTTGTTTAAAGAAAAAATTACTTATTTTTCAAAAAAATGCATAAGAAACCTACTTTTGTACTCTAATGAAAAGTTTTCCTTAAGCAAATTCACTATGTAATCTATTTATCTCTAACCTTAATCTAATGCCATTCTAACGTAAATAGACTTTAAAGGATTCTGGGAGATATATCTCCTGTGAGAGATGCCTATAGTTTTCCTTCTATATATTATTAAAGATTTTTATTTTTTAGTACAGATGCGTTTTGTACACTCATAAGATCCAGTATAATGTGAAATCAAAACAAACTATTAATGCATTAATTTAGAGTAAGGGTTATCACTAATTTAGAGTTAGATTAGATTGCAAGTAGTGTTAATTATATCCAAAATTTTGCAAGGAATTTTTTTTGTTAGAATGCAAAAGGTGGTTTCATAAGCAAAATTATAAGTTATAAGCAATTTTTTCAAAATATAACTATTTTTTTCGATTTTATATTACACCTGATTCTACGATTTGATTGGTTGATCAGGCAGGTGCATTACAATGCACATGCGACAAATTATATAAACCATTATTAAATTTACTTAGAAAAATTAAAATTTACTTAAATAATACAAAAATTGCTAATTTTTATTGGTCAGATTTCTATTGTGATTACACACTGTTTTAAATGACCCCCTCTTTGAAGAGAATATCTGATGGCACTAAGTTGATCAAAGGGTTTAATTAGGTAACTCAAGTAATAGTGGATTACAAGTATGACTAGTGATATA